GGAAACAGATCAATCAGGCAGCTGTGGATCCAAACGAATCCTCGTTCAAGCTGGACTTTTTACTGAGATTCTTTTAATAAACCTGATCAAATCAAACGTTGGAAAATATTCCTAAAAAGCAGTGCTGTTCGAACTGTTTGTGTCATGTAGAGTCGGTCACATTTTAATTTACAACTAGAAAATTGATGTAACTATACTAAACTGCAGCCTGCATTGGCTCTTCCTTTTGGGGAAAAACGATAATGACCCAACTTAAGGTTTAAAAATACAGTATAAGAACAAGTACCACTCTAGTTTTTTTATTTCAATTAAATTTTCAGTACCGAAAGGGAACAAAAAAGATCATCGAGTGGAAAATGTGCTTTTTTTTTATAACAAAGAACATTTTTATAAAACAGTGCTTTTATTTTATTTTTTTATGGCAAGATATTTCCTGTAGCAAATCTAATAATTTGTCTTTTATTAAAAAGTCATGAAATATTTGCTGCTCTGAACTTTTATTTAGCTGGATTTAAGGCAAATCGGTTCTTTGAATTTTAAAGATTTCAGACTCCTGGTATAGTAAAAGAAGGGATATGTGGTTCGATCTTTTTAAATACAAAAAAATACAGATTTTGCCACTATTGCATTAGAAAGTAGTTTGTTTACCTACAACTTTTCCATAAACCAATTATCTTCAATAAAATATTTCAGAGAGAATCTAGTAACTCCACATATTATTCAGATCTGGATTCTAACACACAAAACTGCAGAGAGCAGGGATTTCGTCATGTTTCAATAATTTGCAGCCTTAAACATTTTCTCCATGTTTGGCTCCCTCAATTCCTGCTCCTGCAGAAGAGCTTTCCCACATTATAGTGCTACCACCGCCATGCTATAATTTGTTTTTATTGCTACACATAAAACATAGATCAACCTCTGAACTGAATAAATATCTTTTTATTAAGCAGTATTTATTTTTTTTTTGTGACTCCATAAAGGTTTGGTCTGTTTGGTTCACAGAAATTGTTCTGTTAGTAGTTTGTCTCTCATGAACTGTAGATCTTTATACCACCACCAGAGTCACCATGGGATGTTTGATGTTTGATGCTGTCCTCGCCTAAAATGTCAGCTTGAACAGGAACCCATGTATTGATTTTAACAACAACACATTTCAGAGTGTTTCTCAGAAAGTAATCCGATATAATACAACACAGCGAACTGCAGGGGAACTAAATGAAACTTTGGGTTTAAACTCAGCTGGATTACACAACAATTTATGTAAGGGATTTAGAAAAAGGGAAGCGAAATAAAAAAAAAAAAGCATTTCATGTTTGTTTTTTTTAAATAATCACCTTAAAACATTGTGACTTTTACTTTTGCTGCAGTAATATTCTTGTTATAGTTTGGCTATTTTTACTCGAGTAAAATATCTAGGTACTTTACCCACCGTGAGTAATTTTAAATGTTCCAACATCAGATAAAAATACAATAAGCGGTAGAAGTTCTGTATCCTTTTCTAACATATATGCAGAACCTTCAGTAACGATCGGTTTTCTAAGCATATGTCAATATTTAATACGTTAGAAAACCAAATGTCACATAAATGTCTAATCATCAATTCTGAAATTTAAATCAGAATTTAAGAGCTACCAATAACTCAGTACTTGAGTAAACATTTTACCAAGTACTGTTTTAGTTTTTACTTGTAATTTCTTGGATGATTACTTTATAATTGTGGGTTAAATTAGTGCTATCTTACTTGAATAAAGTTTTTGAGTACTTTCCCTAACTTTGCTTTTAAAAGCAAATGTAGAAACCACACTTCATCATGTTTCTGCTTTTAACAAAACAGCCTGAATTTTGTGGTTGCAAAAATGTCTAAATTTTCAAGGGGTTGATTATTTTTTATGTTCTTACAGTTTTTTATATTTATTTTATAGGTGCTTATTCATTTGCTAATTTCTTTTATAAAAATGATCAAGTAGTAATTCCTTAAAATCACACCCCCTTTTGTTATTGGGAGATATTATGTAAGCTGTTAATTAAGTCATAACCAGCTTCTAATCATTTGCAATCCACTAATTATGACATTTTCTAATTGAATCTTATTTAATTTGGGATTTTTCTTTGTAAAGATCTTTTCGGTCTCAATCACTGGCTGCTACTCATGAAACAAAAGAACCGTGATGTGATTTAATGTAAATGTAAAAAAAAAAAGAGAAAGAAATCCACCCGGTCAGCATAATTTAATGAGACAGAGTGTGAAAGGAACTAAGTGGATAACCAAATGCAGAGTGGGCTTGTGGGTGGGCGGTGGATGAAGTCAGTGATATTTCAAGCGTCCCCCCGGTGGTTAGATTGCTGACAGGAAGCAGTTTGGGTGGGTGGGGGGGGACACACAATCATGTGAATATAAGCAGTGCCAGAAATTAAACCAGATCCTTCAGATTTGAGCTGACTGTAGTACGAGCAGTATATGGAGAAATCAGAGGGGTGGGACTCAAAGCGCCTGTTTGGACAGGCAGGAGCTGAAGGCTTTAAAGCGAAGCCCAGGGCGAGGACCTGTGGGTGGGGATAGATGCTCCTCGTTATGGCGCTCTGGGTGTGGTTGATCTGGGAACGGGGCAGCAGAACAGGTCTCACACATCAGACCTCAGGATGATGCTGTGTTTGTTTCTGATCTGAGGTCAGACCTGCAGCGTGTAGCATTAAGAGAAACAGCAGCCCCTTATTAAATAAAAAATATAAAGTATTTTAAATGTTTTATGGTCGTTTTTACATTTGAACTCAACTCTCTTTTACATAAAAAAGTGTTTAAAATCTCCCAGCAGCTGTAAGACTATAGCTATAACCTCTATAAGTTACATTTATGCTGATTTTGCACAATTTTTTACCTTAGTGAGTTAAATAACCTGCTGCTGTCATTTTGAACATCTCTGATGTTGCTGCTATTTTCAAATATCCATTACTGTAAAAATATCCGTGGCTGTTTATTGGTTATTTATTCTCCAGGTGCAAAGTTTTATGTTGTTAAAACACTTTACAGTACAGTATTTTATTGTTTATCTTTTAACTCTTCACTATTATGATATTATTATACATTTTTATTTTTTCCTATAATATTTTTGCTGCAAACACCAGAATTTCCCCATTGTAGGACAATAAAGAGATTTTATTCTATTCTATTCTAATAAAATTGTTGGATAAATCTACATTTTTTAGCAGATGGTGCAAAATTCAGCATATTATCTTTTTTATTCCATTTCTTAGAAAAAACAAAGCGCTGCCATAATTCTGAACTCCCAGCTTGGACTCTGACAACATGGAGATGATGTCAGCGCGGCGGGCGCACATCAGGTAATGTGATAACCCCTTAGATGTGAAACACTAGACGTGGAAACTGGAGTTGTGAGGGACTAACCATCCTCCCTATCCCTGTTTCTTGGCTGACATGTGAGATTCTTCTGAGGCTCAAAGGGTCAGCGTGGACCCGGCTTAAAACTCATCACGGAAGAAACACAACACCAGGCTTTTTTCATTTATTTTCTTTGAATTAAGCTTTATTAAAGATAAAAGTACAGGTTAGAATAATGCATACAACCGTAAAAGCTAATTACAGACATTTATCATAAACAGGAACTCACCCTCCAACATATACAGCCAGTTTCTACACAAACACATTCAGGTGGTTGTGCCAAAAGGGGCTCCCTTTTGGAACAGGACATCCTGAAACCGGCCAAGAAAAACATTCCTTATGACAGCAAGGCATTCCAGCTTAATCGGAGATTTTACTTTTACAACCTAAAGAAGTTCAACATGTTTGCTCATAAAGAGGAAAAAAAAGGTCAGACTAATTTCAGCCTTTTATATTTACTTACTTGTGGGTTAAAAAAAAACAAAAAACACACGCACAACTAACAGGGCTGTTCTAATAAAGTGTTACCTCGTACAAAAAAAGTGAGTATTGAGAAATAGAAGAAAGGTTTCATTGCAACAGAAGAGGGAAGTGTAAAAAAGGGGAAGGAGGAAACACGCTGAGGACTTGGTGTACTATACCTAAGGCTGGGTGTCACAATGTGATGTTTTGCAATGAGGTGTGTACTGTCTGGATTCTCTGGAAACTCAAAAACACAGAGTCAGCTTTCACACACACACACTTCTCACACACCAGCATCTGCATTTTCAAAACACACTTCCTCACATAAAGCCACACAAAAAATAAAAAAACCCTCACAGACGTCAGCGCGGAGGAAATAAACAATAGACCCGCAACTCCAACGTTGCGCAAGCGGTTTGGATAAGAGAAGTGACATCGTAATACATACACCTCTGAATGGGAACTAATGCTAACTGAAACAATGATATACCAACAAGGAGGAGGAGGAGGAGGAGGACACGACAGGATGCTGGTCAGATGAAAGAGCCCGAAATGTCAGACAGCCTACAGACTGTTGTCGCCTTGCAATCTTAACAGCCAACACCAGTCTGATAAGCTATCTGACAGGCCGAGAGAGTGACGGACATGCCTGAAGATGTATGCATGGACACAGAACACAATGACTTCAACAAAAAGAAGAGAGAAAGAAAGAGAGAGAGAGTCCTAATCCGACTTACCGTGATGGGAGGAAAAAAAAGGACATGTGAATGTTCTAGGCTAGAGCCGGTGCGGTGCACAGGGTTCAGCTCACCCAACAGTACCCCTCTGTTTTGAATCTACTCGAGTGATTCGTCTCCTGGCTCCGTGACTGAGGGAGTGCAACGAGTTCATTCGAGGGTTCAGCTGAGGTAACGGCACAGACGCTTTTCACTGTGAGATGGAGGGTTTTTTTCCCTCTCTCCCCCCCTCCCCTCCTCTATCCCTCCTCCCTGCTGCTCTAGCGTCCCCGCTGCTCTCAGTCCAGCACAGGGAGAGGAAAATTGCACATTTCATTGGCAATTATAGAGAAAACAAATAAGAAAAAAAGAAGAAAGAAACAGGGGAAGGTGGTGGATCACTGGCGAGCCAGCTTGGTGTCCTCCTTTTGGTACCAAAAAAAAAAAAAAAAAAGAAGGAAAAACCTCCAAAGGAAAAGTGGAAACAAAGAAGATTTCTCTCTCATCTAGCACACCAGGCAGCAGTCCGATCTCACCATCTGCTTTAATCCACAAAAAATATTGCGACCACATTAAGACAACCCGCTATCTACATGTGACACACACAACGTTGTAGATCTGATTGAATATATACCCTGCATCTGGTCAAAGTGGCCCCCGGGCTGACTCATGCGCTCTCTTCCTGGAAGCAGAACAATGAGGGGAGACAAAGGGACCGGCGGGGGTGATCCAGGAGTCATTTATCATTACCTATCCAAAATACTACATCCTGCACAGAAGTCACCTATTACACCATGTGGAGCCTAAAGCATCCACTGCCATCCCTACAACTGCAGCACATGAAATGGAAATGATGCAGCTCTAACTACGTTCCTTATCTAAACAGCCAATGCCAAACATCTACAAGCTATAATAATATCCTAAATAGAAAAAAAACAGCTAAAACTAAACAGCAAATATGGTTAATTTAAAATATTAGAGTAAAACTTAAGTAGACTCAGCACTAGTTCAAAGCGTGGATGCCTACATACAGCCCCACATGTCTCAGCGAGCACCTACCTTTGCAGGAGAGAACATACAGAAATACCAAAATTGCGACCAAAATTGCAGAGCCTTCATAAACAAGCAAATGGAAGTCCAAGCTGAAGATAAACATGTTGTTACAGAAGCTAGAGAGAAACCAGATGGTGCCGTTTTTTTTTGTGCCTAGGATAATGATGGGGTATCAGCCAAAAGGGAGAGTAGATATGAAGGGCTGGTGGTCCGATACGATCGACCCCAACCCACCCAACTCCCCCCACACCTTGCTGGCCCTCATTCCGTCTTGCTGTCCGAGGACTTCTCCTGCCGCTTGCGCTTGGCATAGCTCTGCGCCATGGAGTTGACAATGGAGCAGACAAAGAAGCATACCATGATGACCACAACCTTCTCGAAGAGCCACGAGAGCCAGCTCTCCTCCTACCAGGAACCACAGAAAGAGAGAGAGAGAGAGAGAGAAGAGCTCGGTCAGTAAGAGAAGGGCCACCCCCTTCTCCTCTCCACCTCCACCCCCGCATTTGCCGCACCCCCTGCTCTCCCCTCTGCTCCTGATGCTGTAGGCTAGGTGGGGATCCAGGTCCATGTGCAGGACAGATAGAGATCAGGGGTAATAAAACACGCGGCAGCCCCCGCCGTCCTCCCCTCCTATAAAGCCCCCAGTGACCCCAGCCTGCAGCCTGCCTCCACCGACTTCAATTGCCCTGCTTCTCTCCAGTAACTGCTGGAAGCTCAGGTTACAAGACACAAAAAAAAAAAAGGAACATTGTTCTAGAAAATGCCTTAATCTGTCCTTGTACGCCTCTAAGTCTATCCATTATGTCTTTTCTTCTTCCTCGTACACTAGAGAAAAAAAATAACGCTCTGAATTAATCACTGAGTGCAAGGAAAGGAGAAAGAGGAGAGAACAGCTTTTAAAGAAGAAACAGGCTTTAGCTACAACTGGCTCTTTTTGTTCTAGATGTGGGGGGGTGATGGATTGTCACAAGGGAGGGGTGGGGGGGGGTGGCTTTGGTCTACAGTTAGTTCTGGGTTCAGGCGGGGCACCGAGTGCATGTGTGTGTGTGAGGCACTGAGGGGAGTGACTACACTCACACACACTCTCCCATTGGTAAGATGGAGCATGAGTCAGCACACCCCATGCTACAGTAGTACAGTTCGGGTGAAGCTGGACCCCACGCTGCCCCCCCCCCTCCACCTTTCCCACTCAAAGTTGGTCCGAAGCAGCGCGAAACCCACTCTGTCACTCTGGTCCCCAAAACAAGCCTGTGTAATTTACCGGATCACCAACAGCTGACAGGAGAAGCAACTAAACCTAAAGAAATCAGCTCAAAGTTTCATTTGTTTTTTAGTTATTATTTGATATTTGGTGAAATTCAGGCTGAAAATAGGGCAGTTATGTAAAAGACAAAAAATGAGGCTTTTTTTTTTTTGTCTTGGCATAATGTGGGTGATATTTGGTTCTTACCGTTGGGGTCCCCTCTCTGGTGACATGGTGCAGCTTGGCCTTCTGGGCCTCCAAGTACTCCCTGAAGGGCTTCTGCAGTGCCGCACCCAGCAGAGGAACAGCGCTGTTTCCACCAACAGAGAGAGGGAGGATGAGAGGGGTGGGTGGAAACAGAAAGAGAGGGAAGAGAGGGAGATAGGGAGGG